GTAACCACAATGAAACACATGCAGGGGCAAAGAGGAAGGAAAACTTCTCAAGAATCTCCTCTATGGCAATAAAGGGACAGAGCTAGGACGGGCGGCAGGAAGGGGAAGAAAAAAAGTCTTCAGTGAGTAAAGTTTTCCTTTTGCAATGGTGAATTTTCATTCTGCATCAAAGTCCGTATTTTTGGTTCTTCTCGTCGTTGTGAACTTCATATTGCTGGAGTCTTGTGGCTTGGAGCCCATTCCTTTCTGAGTGCAGTCTGTCAGGCCTCAGTACCTGTGAGACTGGTGAGACTGGTGGTACTGAGAGCTCTGCTGGGATGACGTGGAATAGCCCATCGTACTCTGGGACTGAGAAGATCCCTGAATGTTGCTTTGGTAACTCAGGCGTGAGCTGGAGTGCTGGGAAGAAAGAGAAGGCCGTTAGCAAATGGAAAATAGCCCGGGAGGACTAGGAATCTCAGGAAACATTTAATTTCTCCAAGGCTCCCTGAAATGTATCTGCATTTCAATTGTTTCTGAAACTTCAGCCCATCATTGTTGTAGGGCCCTGTTAAAATAATGCATGGACAAACAAGTGCTAGGCACACAAAGCCTTTTCAAAAGATGGGTAGAAATAAAAGTTACAGAAAGACGATGCATTCTATTGCTGAGGAAGATAACCGTATGACTTAATTAACCTAGGATTATATCAATATTATTTCCCACCTGCTGCTTTATCTCCTGGAAGGAAGGCACCCACTTAGAGGTGGGCATGCATGTGTGCAACGCCCTCACATTCACTTCCCTGGATGCTCTTTTCTGCACCATTTGAGATGTTGTGAAGGATCCCAACCTCAGCAAGCCAAATTCAGACATCACCTGCCACCTCCAGCCTACTTGAACTGCATGTTCTGCACTACCAAACTCACTCCCTATGAAGCATCAGTAGTGAACTGCATCAGTAGTTCCTCTCTAAACATTTTACCAATTAGAAATCCCTGTTTGCATGAACATCACTGGTCAGTGTACATGAGGCTCTCTAGTACGGCAAACTTCCCCCCCACAAGAAAGTCCCCAAGAAGCAGAGACTCATCCAGTAAGGAGTCCTGGCTACTGCTTAAGTGATGGCTCCACCCAGCTAGGCCCAAGAGACTGTAGCCAACACCAGTCCTCCACAAAAAGTGCTAAGAACCTATTCTCTGACCAAATACCAAAACTACGAGTTACACAAAGCCCAAAGCCTGTGAAAAAGTTTGATTCCTGAAGTTTGAAACCCTGTGGGGAGAGGAGGTGTGAGATGCCTCTTCAGTGAGGGCAATGCCCAAGTCAGTGGCCTCATCTAACAACACGGTCCCAATTAGGAGAGTTGTGCAAGCATCCTGGCAGCTTTCCACATGGATAATGAAGAGTAAAACCCCCACGTATGAGCAGTGTAAAACATTTCAGCTCTTTATGCATTCTTTACATAAGTTTATAACTTAACAGGCCTGCTGTGTGGCCCACTCTACCTCTGTGTAATATCAGCATACCCCAAAGGTTACATGGTGTGACTCCACTGGGGTCAAGGGTCAGCTTGGGAGACAACAGCTCGGGACATTGGCTTTGGAGGAGACATCCCGCAGCACCAAGTATGCCATCAGCAACTTGGCTGGATGATTACTTGGTTGGATGATTGAGAGAATGCCCAAAACCTGGGATTTGTCTCAGAATTCTTCAAGTTTTTGCCACTTTGGACAGGAAAGAATTATGGCTTATTATGTAGGAACTAGTTCTGAATGAAAAGCCTCAGTTTCCAGTGTTAACCAAGACCACATATGGAGTGCCTAGTAAAATTATGGTATTGCACTATCATCTGTAGAAGCAACAAAGACTGGTATTGGTCAGCTACAAAATATTTGCAGCAGAGATTTTAGATTAAAGGCTAAATCAACCCAAAGCAAAGGGATTCTTCTTCCTACTTCTGAATAAGATATAATGGATTAAATTAATGCTGTAAGACTACAAGAACATATTAACTTGCCCACGCTTATTTTAGTTCCACTGAAGGGAATTTGTTTTAACAAAGTCAGACTTGGACAAATTGCAGACATTCCTTTCTGGAATAGAGGAGAGCCAACTAAAATCGAATGGCAGATAGCCAAACACAAGTGTAAAAATGGATAAACAGACCATACAATTTAGCAAGTGACGTAAAGGGAACATATAGATCATTAACAGCACAGGCATCAAAGAAAAGTCTAGAAGGAAGGAGTCACGGGGGAAAAAAAGAATCTAATTATCTCAAAAGAAAAGAATCAGACTGCTAAAAACTTGCAAGGGGGAAGCTTGCCAACAATTCAGAGAGCTTTATAAGAATTCTATAATGGATATCATCAAACACAGCACACCAGTCCCCAAAATATAGACCAAATCAGGACAGCCGTAAATACTATGTAGCCAGACAGCTGCAGGGTCCAGACCTCAACCCTGTCTGGAAGTTTTCAAAAAAGAAACCTAGTTGTCTTTACCCTTAAATTGCCCTCAATGTCTTCATGAGAAAAATGCTTGGCACGGAGAAATCAATTGTCTGTGGAGGAGGTCTGGAGGCTTAAGTCAAAGAACCCCGGAGTTTTTTTTTTTAATTGCTTCTTTTAAGTTAAAAGCAGCCTGAACAGACCTTTTTTTTTTTTCCAAGGTTAAAGCCTCTCAAAACACAGTAGCAGATAAAATCCTTATCATCTTGTAATATCTACCACCTTCTTCTACATTAATAACAAGTCTTGTTCATCCAGTGCTTTATATATGCAGTCTAAATCCATTCTTTTCAGTGGAGAGAAATCATAACTCTAGGAAGGTATGAAACTCAAAAAGAATTCAGTGATGCTGCTTTTATTCATGGATTGTGATGAGACGAGCTAGAATAAATTAAAAATCTAATGAAAGAGCCTGATACTAGCTTGGCTCCTGCTTCTCACATAGGACTTAACCTTGCCAAGAGCTGGATATTCTGAACTTGATCTAACACAGCACCTGAACGCATGCAATGGGTTTACTGGCTTCGCTAAGATTATTCTCAAACATGGAGCTAAGTACATGGTTAAGTGCTTTGCTGGAGTGGGCCAGTTCTCAACAGGGCATTGGCACTCTACTGAAAATTACAGTTTACTGAACCCTTTTACCTTTTTAGTGCTGTGATGGGCTTTAACCCCACAATTTTACCCAGTATACCAGAGCACGCCTGCTCAGCCTGCAAGGAAACGTCATTACAAGACAACCTGTGCTGGGAGCGGGGAAGGGGGAACGTGACGCGGCACGTTCCGTACCACAAGGGGCCAAAACTGAGGAGTTACCTGATAATCTGAGGGCATGACAGGCCCGCCCGAGTTGGCGCCTGAAGGCCCCATGCGCGGCTTCTTGGTTGGAGGCACCTGGTTGAGGCTGGAGTCCTGGCTGTGCTGGAGCCCCGCGGCGGCGCCCCCGGTCGCGGCGCCGGTGCCGCCGGCCGTGCCGTTGGTC